CTTTTTAGCGCGACAATTCGTTGACATTCACTCTCTTACGTGCTGTGTTAGCTTCCACCCACGTACCTCTCTCACGTCTTTCTCTTGCGTAAAGGGCTGAGGACGAATGCGATGCATAGTTGCATATACAAATAGACAGCTCACTTGAATCTTACGACTTTTTAAAGGTATTAAAGTAACATTCGTATTAATGTCGGTAACATGCAACGTGTTAGGTCGATACAACAATATGCGATTAATAGTTTCTATGGTTTCCTCGTGTCAAGTACGACGGTATATATTCTTCAACTACGCAGTTTACAAGATTATGCCTGACGCAAAATGAACAAATTAAATTTTTTGCTTCCCTTGCTGTCTTTCTCTCTTCTTCTATTTCTGTTATGTATTCTATTCATGCTAATTATATATTTAACATGAGAAGTATAAACTAAAAATATTCTATTAAATCTATTTCTTCCTTTTTCTTTTTTCCGTAATAAACCATTTTATGTTGTTATTATTATATTTTTTCTAAAAATCTAATATTTTTTGCGCTTTAATATAATAGATATTATTGTTTTGACATTAAAAATGAGGTAGTTCTTAATTTCTTCACTTTTAAGAACTATAAAAAATCTGAAGAAATTAAATGATGTATTTTAAATATCTACGTGTCAAATGATGATATTAAATTTGATCAAACAAATCTATTATTAACATAAATAAGATAAAATCTCGATTACAGTAGAATAAAATTATCGATGCTACAACAATTTAATAAAATATTGTATCAAAATGATGAAGATTATTAACTTTGCTTTCTTGAAAATGTTAAATAAGCAATACAAAGAAAGGCAAAAGAAGATGCTATAATGTAGATAATTAGAAAAGTATCACGATAATTTAGAAAATAAATGTGAACGCAGCCTAAAATCGCGCAATAAGGAATGGAGCACAACAGACAGGAACCTCGGTTGAGCGAAGCAATGTCAGTCGAGAAGTGACAAACGTTTAGGCGAATGTAATGTCTCTCTAGTCGTTTTCATACTTAGACAGTTAGTAGTCTTCGTGTAACGTCCTATACGCGTAGCCGTATCGCTGTGCTCGGGAGCAAATCTCATTATAGATAGACCAGTCCAACTCGGATTCTAGTCCAATCTAGTCTAATGAGACCAAGTTGTAATAAACAGCTAGTGTAGGTGCAGTTTTAGAAAACGATTGAGCTAAGGGATGGCAGGATTGCTATTGCCTATCGAGAGCTGTGAGTTCGCATTTTTCATCTGTTCATCCACAATAAACTGAATGATTTTTAAATGATTTTTAAATTATGAACGTGCGAAAATGTGCCACATTGTCACGTTCATCGATGGGTATATTTTTAACTCCCCGATGGGTAAACCTCAATTCTCGTATTCTTGAACTCCGCACGAATACATTGCGCTACAAATGATTTTTGCTTCATGATGTAATCAATTTTCCATTGAATTACGATTTATATTTCTAGTTTATTATAATCATTTAAATTATATGAATTGTTGGATATAGGCAATTTTTAATTCGTAAAAGTGTAAATGTTTAGAAATATTTGTAATGTTGTTCGACAAACAATTTTTTGGTATGTATGTCGCAATGAAAGGATTCATATTTCTTCTTTATTATTTCGTAATAAGTAGCGCATAAAGTTTCACATTAATATTTCTTGATGATAGGTATTTGTCATACATGTGGTGAGAAAGTGACCGGTGCCGGACAAGCTTGTCAAGCAATGGGTAATCTCTATCATACCAATTGCTTTATATGCTGTTCCTGCGGAAGGGCTCTCCGCGGTAAAGCTTTCTACAACGTTCATGGCAGGGTTTACTGTGAAGAGGATTACTTGGTATGTGAGCTATTTTAATGCTGATGACGGAAATAACAGTTATTGAAATCACACTTAATTCACGTAACTCATATAAATTGTTGGGTTCGCAGTATTCTGGTTTCCAACAAACGGCCGAGAAGTGCGCGATTTGCGGCCACCTTATCATGGAAATGGTAGGCGACGAGAGTCGATCATTATCATCCGTTAGATTTCTATTGTAATTCAGTGTAACATCACCTTTTGCTTTCAGATACTGCAAGCCATGGGCAAATCATATCACCCGGGCTGCTTCAGATGTTGCGTGTGCAACGAATGTCTCGATGGCGTTCCCTTTACGGTCGATGTTGACAATAAGATTTATTGTGTAAACGATTACCACAGAATGTTCGCACCTAAGTGTGCATCTTGTGGAAAGGGAATCACGCCGGTTGAGGTATGCGCGCTGGAAATTAACTCGCTTACGTCATTAAGCCGCATGGCAGGCGTTCCCGATAAAATCTCTTTTTACGAGCTGTGTTCTTTTCTATTTTAGGGAACTGAGGAAACGGTCAGGGTAGTCTCGATGGACAAAGACTTTCATGTGGACTGCTACGTTTGTGAGGATTGTGGCATGCAGTTGACCGACGAGCCGGATAAACGGTGCTACCCACTTGATGGCAGACTTATGTGTCGTGCGTGTCACATCCAACGCATATCGCATATGCAACCGAGGGCACCGCAACCGGTGTCCGCTAGCTATCAGTTTATGGGCTAAGTGTACTGACGTTCAAGCATCTGCTGGAGCTTTCGAATTGCGCACGTAACACTAATCCGATAAAGAATATTATGAAAATCAATTAAATAAAACGAAGAAATATTAACATATATTTCTGAATGGTATAGGATCAGGATATACATACATATATATCGTAATACGTATTAGGGTCTAGTTTTGAAAATAGATTTTCTTGACAAAATTGATTAGAAAACAGGAAAAAGCGACAATGTGTGATATCAATTAATGTTTTTAATTTAATTGAGATAAGAGCTTTCAACTCTAATCTTTAGATCATCAAAAACAACTAAGATATTAAAACTTTTTTTGCAAAACTGGTATGATCTATTTACTATTATATCGTTTTAATTATAAACTTTCTCGATTACTCCCAATCAAGACAATCAAAATCTATCGACAACAGATTCTAGAGAATGGCAAAAAAAGTTACAGATGCAGGATCTAGTAAGAATATGTCAAAATTTGTTAAAAGCAGATTAATGATAAAAAATCAAGCAGACTGGCGAATATTTATACAGTATAGTTACAATATCAATATCAATCTTAAGATATCGTAAATCAATTACAAACTTGTCTCAATGAGAAATGACTCATCAAATTGATATCGAGTCGACATCAATACAAATATAATATATTGATGATACGATAATATATTGATGATATTGATGATACGATGTTAATTATGTCGATTTGATAGTCATCTCTTGTTGAGTGTATTAGCATCTTAAAATATTATTAAATATCTTGAAATAAAAACGAACTATATACGAAACTAACCTTTGACATATTTGCTACATAATTTGTCACAGCTCGGCAGAAATAGAACTGTATAAAAGACATTCGCAACAAATACGATTATCCATAAATCTGTCTTTAAATATTTATTCATAACGTTAGTGAAAATTAATCATCGGTTCAATCGGTTTTACATTACTTATTACACAGGATTCTTATAAGAAATATAAGAATTCACGTCATTTTTACGATATTTAGGAACGTCAAGGAACTTATTATTTTTAAAATGAAATAAAAATTACAAAAGTAATTGAATTTATTAGAATATTTATAACTTTAACACCTAGCAAATTTGTACATTTTTGTAATTTTCATTTCATCTCAGGAACCGTATAGATTCGTCATAAGAATAACTAATTAATGACGTCAAATGGACATCTTGCAACCGTCAATAACACGAAAAAAATAATGCATTTTTTATGTCGACTTATGTACCTGTGGCAAATCGCAATTTTTACGATGTTTGGACATTATTTTAAACGTCACATTCATCATAAGAATGACTAATTAATGTTAAACAGACGACATCTTGCTCTGAGTAATTATCAATATTTCTTATGAAAAGCAAATTATCGAGTCAATACATGTCGATAGGCTGTTAATTAATGTACGATAAAAATATTTAATCTGTCGCGTCCTGGGAATATTTGTAGGAAAAAATGTGATTTTAATTATTCCAATTTTTAAACAAAATAAATTAGTAATAAAACTAGTTTCAATTAAGAAATTGCAATATTATATTATCTTCTGGGATCAATTTGACATGTCAGTACACGTAGCATATGATTATGAGTACAAGTTCTTTTTAATCGAAGATAATTTAGAATCTAGATAAGTGGTACATTTAATATATGCGATTCTTATTTATTATATTTAGTAAAGATACTATTCTGCGAATGCAATGGTTTCATTAGAATGATTAGTTGCGCAGGCAACTGTGATATAGTAGCATAATAATTATGCGTTTTTAAGCAAAAACTTCATACTTTTTAACATGTGTATATACAACATTTTTTAATGTTTATTGTAATAGTATACAAATTTATGATGGAAATATGAATCTCAGGAACATTCCTGCAAATTTCCTCTATCGATCAAGTTTCATTGTACTTCATATTCATTGATAGTATTTATTAAGTCAGATATAACGATTCGCTGCGAGTACTCGTAATATTGAAGTTCATCGGGATACACTTCGTAATCTTTAACTTTGACTGCAATGTTTTCGCACAAAGCATAGAATCGAGACTGGAAAAATATGTAAGCGTGCTATAGCGATCAATATACGACAATATTATAGCATTGAAAGACGCACAACTCGAGCTGCCAAATAACTATTGTTATTCTTCAGGTCTAAGCGTAATTGTTATATACAATTTTAAATTCGCGTGCATATTGTAGATAACTAGTATAATCTTATTTAAATTGCATATGTATAAATGACTATCCTTCAATAAAGACAAACTGCAGTAAATGAATTTTTTATTCGATATTTTGCATTGATCCATTGTATTCTTTGATATATTATACTTCGACTGCATGAGAAATGATGAACGGGATAAATAATGAAGGAATATTTAATGCAGGAAATAATTTACAATGATGCAATATATTTATGAACAGAAATATACAACAAATCCTCGAGCTACATCGAGCCCAATCCGACCAATAGGTCCGACATAGTGTGGCAGTAATATTTATGATTTTGGCGATTCCGAGTGTCGGTCCGTATATTCTGTCTTGAATTTTTTCTTGTGTTCTGCTGCATGTTTATTTGACTGTACTGGCTACAACACGATTAAAGGCGATTACGAAGAGTATACATGTCGCCATGAGATCGAGAAATAAAAAATCTATCAAATGTTACTCTTTACGCGATAAGAGCACCTCGCCAAAAATAAAAGCAAGAGAGATCAGTACGATATACTTGAGATTAATCGTGATCGGTAACCTACTCATAGCTTTGCCCGCAGGCTGCACCATGTGTGCATGTAAAAAGAAAACAGACAAGAAGATATTTCAAATACAAACACAGATATAATTATATGTCAAACAGTTTATTTCTTCAATTTCAGAAAATGACATTGCATTTCAGGTACATTACTCACCTCTACTGATTGAAGCTTGAATGACAATGCCTTCACGTAGCCTAATTTGCTCAAATATCGAATTGCCATTGTCGTTCCTCCTGTTATTAGTATAAATATTTAAAATATAATGCGCAAATTATCTATTATACACATAACATATTAAAATTACAAACCAACAGTAACAGTATATCTGATTGGGGTAAATATCTTATAAAGAGCATAAGTAATGGCCAAATCACCAGCATTCGAATTACGCACTAAATCTATGTATTTCTCGCTAAAATTCATATATTCCAACAACTGGACTATATCCACACCACTAAAAATATAAAGTTTTTATGTTGATTAATTGCCAAACTCTCAAACAACATATTAATTCCATTAGTATATACGTACTTCCTAACAGCAGTATAGAATATAGCTATCCATCCTATAGAAGTAATTACATGCACAGGTATTAACACATGCCAGTAATCTTTAGTCATTTGTTTCATTTTTTGAAATATTGTCAATTTTTGTTCTGTTTGAGGTTTTTCATCATCAGAGCTTTGTTTAAAGTCCGAATAATATGCCAGAGTAACACCATTTTTGTTAATCTCTTGTTTCAATGATTTTTGATAAACAAATATATTATTTACAAGGCCTAAGGAATTATGCGACGCGGCCTTATAACAATGATATCTTTCTGCAAATGAAATATAAGCTTGATAATCCATATTGAATCTATTGAACTTCACCATGTTCATATTTTAACTTACCAGGAAATGCTGACTTCGAACGTGTATTGATACGACATGTGTAACATGCTGACAATGGAAGATATTTTGTTAACAATATTGAAGCATTACTTAATTCAACACTAAATCTCAATCCACGAGCGAAAACTACATCCATGTTCGAAAAACGCCGCTTCTTTTCCTAACCAAAAATTACAATAACCTTATATCTTCGCAAAATGCCACATGTGTGATAAAAATTCGACAAATATGAGTATTGAAAACTTATGAGAGTTTTACAATTGTTGCTCGTTTGTGATTTTGATCGTGTAATACTCAAATGACGTGGTCATCACAAAATCTCCATACCTTGACATATCATACCACAATCACACTCTGCATTGAATAATGAACTCGATTCTCGAATGATGCAACCAGACGGCAGACTAGACGTCAATATTGCCAATGTCATCAGTAGTGACATCTGTGGTTCAGAAATTGCTGAATAACGCTTAATTGTATAAATCTGTTGTAGTCAATAATGAATTTTGAATCAGACAAGGTATTTCTTAAAGATTTTTGGATACTGAAAATGAAGTTTTGCGTGATGGTTGGTGAAATAAATTGCCATTCTTCTCAAAAAGCAATTTTTTAATTTCTTAATTAGAAGATGACATATTTTAATAATTGTATCTCTTTAGATAAGATAATTTCGAAAAATATTGTTTCAATAATTTATTCTATTATTAGCTGTTAATAAATTCCTAATTAATGTTTTTTACTCTTTCTAAAAATATAAAAATTTTTAAAATTTCCTCTGAGTAATACTTTTTACACTCACGATTCAATCGATTCAATTTTTTGTGAATTTTTCCAATGAAATTTTTGTTAACCATACGATAGTAATTAATTGAAAATAAATGTATTATTTCTTTGATTTATATTTGTCTGTCTTTGTCCGAGTTCGAAATATAAATTTCACACGTTTTGAGCTGAACAGTATGCATTCAGTTCAGAGATAGCCTGACAAAGTTGTTGGGTTCCACAGACTCTGGTGTGACCGGGAAGGTAACAAAAAATAACATTGGCAAGCTAAAGTTAAGGACCTAAAGGAAGATTACAGATTCTGAGGCTATTTTAGACATAAATTAAATAGCTGATTGGTATACAAATATATGAATTCATCTGAATCCATGAAAAAATATAATGAAGTAAATAATAAATTGATGTAATTATGTGCACGTTGAGCACGTAAATGATTAGATTCATAAGTAAGAAGCAATCGGTGAGTAGGTTGCATTCCAAACCGAAAAAAGCGTTGTAACTTTTTAGTTAATGAGTGTACATACATCTTACGTATAATTTTTAAAAATTTCTACCAAATTTAAAAAGCTAAAAGAAAAGAAAGTAGAAAAAGAGATAATATGTTCTAAGAAAAATAGATATCTATAAATAAAAAAAGAGATAAAAAAATTGGTGCAACAAAATGTATATTATCAACGAAATAATATTAAAGATCATTTTTTTTTACAGGAGTTAATGTAATTTAAAATTCTTCTTGAAAAATATCGCAGTTAAAGTAAAAAAATAATAATTAAATTAAACAAAGATAATAAAAATATACCTTATAAACACCAGAATCTTTTTACAAACAAACTATTTTTTATAATACATACATAATTAGTTAAGCTAAAATAACTTCTTCCTTTCTATAATATATGTAAAAAGATTTATAAAGACTTTAAATCACTGGATGTAATATATAATTATTAATATAAATAATAATTTTAGCAGTTACAAGCAGAGGAAATAAACTCCACAATTCAATTCTTCGTGCATTGTTTTCGTACCATTGTGCGAATAATTCTGAAATAAAATGAAAAATTCCTATTTTTACAAGATACACTTTGTACTTTTTATTGGATGATATTTTAAGTCATTTAAATATTAATATTAAATTAACCTCTGTCATCGCGACTTGTGATCCAGCCGATCACAGGTTGCATCTCATTTTGTCGTTTTAACCATGCATTTAAAGGCTCAAAATATTTGAGCATGGCACCAGCGTCTATTCTGTTCGTCCTGCTTCTTGTCATATGTCTAACAACGTCTTGCCACGGTCTAGAAGCTCCCATTGACAGAATATCTCTGTAAATACGAAAATCGCATGTTCTTTATAAATTAGTCATTGCTATTTTATTAATACTTTTGCAAATTTTACATACGATAGTAATCGACCTGCTTCTCGTGATCTATAAAGATCGCAAGTGTGCAATTCGCCAATATGACCAGAAATTTCACACAAAGATTGGAACAGTTGAAACTGTAATACAGTACTTACAAAATACCTAGAAATAAAAGATATAAAAGTAATGTAAGTATAGATAGTATTTATATAAAAATACGTATTTTTATATATTAATACTGTCTATAATTTATTATATTTCTACTTGGCATAAGGACTGTCTGCTGGGATGTGATATTTCGCTGCTGGATCAAAATTCCTTTCAAATCTGGGTACAGGTGGAACAATGCCTTGATATTGCAATCTTAATTCCCACCAATGCGCTGTCATATCTTCCACGCCGTCACTAAATACGCGCCATCTCCACTTTTGGAAAAGTAAATACGTTTATGATTTAATTATTTCATTGTTTAATTTCCAATTTTATATTTTTATATCTTCAAAAATTATTTTATAAATGAATAAGTAATAATAAAAACATGTCTATCATATACGGAAATTATGTATTAGTTATTATTAATTATTTAATTGTTTATTTATTACTTACCCGATCAACTATATAAGCAAACGGCATATAAGCTACTTTGCGAAGTGCCATTAACATTAAAAAATTTATGCTACTATCATAATTGTCCGTTAAATTATTGTGCAGCCCAATTTTATGTAAATGTTGACGAGTAAAAATGGATAAACCAATGGCATCACTAACAGCTTCATGGAATCCTAATTATAAAATTGTTGATAATAGAATACATAATTCTATGAAATATATAAAATAGGTATACCTGGAATTGCTTCGTTTCGGAATAGCAATGGATGATCCTTGTATTGTAAATAATATTGCAAATGGGCCATTTCATAATGGGTAGATAACAAATCTTCCATTGTGACTCTAGTACACTGTTTTATCCTGCAATTATGTAACAGAATGCAATTTGGAGTACTCTGCCATTTGATATAATACAAAGAAAGATATATTAAAATAAAATAAGAATTTAAAAAATTAATTTTTTTTTTGCTGTGTGACAAAAATATTAAAAATAGCTACCTGTAATCAATTCTATTACAAAAATCCCACGCACTAGGAGTGCATTTAATTTCTCTATCAATAGGTTTTTCTAATATAGAAAATTTCCAGAATTCCGGTGGCATCGGTTTCATTCCGAGCGAAGTAAAAAATTCTTCCGCTATTTGAAACATCCTTTTAATATTACAAAAACATTCTTTTAGAAAATTATTCATATTTTATAAATTTACATATTTATGAAATTTTTGTATAATTTGAAACATACCTTATTGGAGTAATACCTTGAATCATCATATCCAAAGTTACATCGAGCTTTCGGCTTGCAGGAAATGGTTGCACTAACTCGAACAAACCTTCCCAATTTTGAGACCACATATCTCCTAAAACATGTGCCGGTAAAGGTCCATCCTCGCGTATTCTATCACCGTATCTTTCAATCAGTTTTGATCGCACATAAGTGAAAAGATTTTTATAGAGTGGAGTTATTGCTGACATTATCTCCGCCATATTTTGTTGGAAATATTCATCTTCAAATAACTCTCTCATCTGATCGCCAGCATCAGCAAAACCTTCCAAGAAATACATTTTGATTATTAACTCTTTAAATGTGCATTTTTATTGATATAATTTTAATAAATATTTTTATGCAGCAGAATAAAACTATTTAAGATCAAAGCTTTTCATACCATTCAATTTAGCTGCTCGATTTGCCAATTGAACATATCTCAAGTATTTATTTTGTAATTGTGGACCAATTACTTCATGCCAAGCATGCCAATAATGCAATAATTCGTCGTAATCTTTTGACGTTGCCATTATTTTATTTAGATCTAAAAATAATTTACTTCTGAATAAAAGCATATTATATACATTTATTTCTTTTATGTGCTATGTAATAAATTAAATTGATTGACTAACCGTAATCCAAACTCAAATTACATTCGCCATCAATTTGTTTGTACGAACATACTCTGGCTTTAACATAAATCTCTTTCATCTCTGCTATCAAACGATGTATCTGTAAATTGGATACAATTATACATAAATAAAAGCAGTGATAGATAGAATCGCAGATTATAATCATTTAATAACATTTATTTTTTGATATTTAATAATAATTAATAGTAATTGATCAAACAATTGCAATTACATGATGAGTAAAGAATTAAAAATTAATATAATATTATTTTCACTGAGATATTTATCTACCTCATTAAATTTATCATCAGTCAGGGAACTTCGACCTTTCGTAGCGATCATTTTAAGTTCCCTTCTTGCCAAAGGATCTGGTATTCGACTCCAAGCAAAAGTAACTGCTTTCCGCCAAGAAGCTCTTTCAAATTTTAATTTTAATATTTGTTCGTCCACCTAATGAGATATTAGATAAGATTAAGTGCCATATATAAAAAATTAAAGCAAATCATTTTTATGTCGTTTGTATTAATTAAAAAAGTTTTTACACCATTTTTTGATGGTTTGTATCAGTAACGTTTGTCGCAAAGTTCCATTGGGCTATCATCACTCTCGTACACATTAACGAAGCTGCACTATCATATTCCCTAAGGAATACAAGAGCATCTCCTAAATTCACGTTGAGGCCCTTTAAATGACATAAAAAAGAAAAAAATATTTCAATACTAGTTTATTATAATTATTATTAATAGCAATAATTACTAATAGCATCAAATAATCGAACAAAGTTGTATTTTATTTGAAAAAAGAAATTAAGACAGTTAAATAAATAAAAAATCTACTGTATTAAACATATAGTACAATGATAATAATTTCGAATGTACATATAAGTTAACTGGCATATTTCGGAAAATAAAAGCTATAATTTCCAAAGTATGAACAATCGGAAATTTAACTTTGACAATTAAAATAATGATAGTAAATTGATTCACAGTCTTACCTCCAAATATTTTCCATGCGTCTCTCCATATAACACAATAACAAAAAACGCAATAACATTTCGAATTCCTGTCATTATTCTCTGTAGTAAATTTATCGTTGCATCAGTAATTGACATGACAAACCTCTTTGTATATATTTTAAGATGTTTTTCATTCTCAACAAAACATTCTTATACAGTTTATAGGTTTATTCAGTATAGTATAGTAAATAATTTATTACAGTATAAATATATAAATAAATAAATAAGCACAATAATGACTTAAAGAAATATGCATGAACAATTATACATTATATTATTTATATTTAGTGTTTTTTATTGCGCCAATATTCTGATATCATTGTTTCATCTTTATTAAGAATTAAATAAGAATGTTAAATAACAGAAGAATAATATTTCTTGTTAATGTTTGTATAAGTTTTGCATAATATAAAAGTTTACACTGTTTCCAACACAAACTGAACCATAATTTAAATCAAACTCAGATAACGTCATGTATCAAAAATTTAAAGAAAATTGAATTATTATAACATATATTATGACATCCTACTGTGTAAACACAATGTTCCTTAAATTTATAGACTTTAGCACAACAATCAGTCAGTCGTTCGACAACTGAATTAAAGAGCCAAGGCTCGATGCTGTCGTCGCAGTAAAACTGAATCGTGGCAGAAAGAGAGATGGGCTTTTCCGGGACGGATATTCCATAGGCAAAAAGAGGAAGGGACAGGCACTATCGGTGCATGAAGCGTAACTACCTAACGCATCGTAGCACACGCCAAAATCTTTCTACATCGCTTTAACTTTATAATTACGTCATTATATATGTGTCACAATAATAGTAAAAAGTCTTCGTTTAACGTTAACTTCGACCTTGTATTTCTCTCTACAGAAAATTTATTAAAATGACATATTCATTAAAACAAAAAGTACAACATAATAAAGTTAATTAATAAAAATGATTTCTTATATACATATACGTATATAAATAAATATGTATGTATTTATTAAAAAATTAGATAAATTGTTCTCAATAAAATGTATTAGAAATAATTGGATATGTATAGATCCTATACTTGTATCATATTGCTGAATGAAAACCGTTTTTATAATAAAAACCGAAACATACACATTTCTTTAATTTTATTTAAAAACTTAAATATATAAATTCGGATAGATAAATATAACTTCAATTATTAAATATATTTACAATACACTTTTAAATCGATTAAATAATATTAAAAGATATACTGCGATTTCTTAAATGTAAGTTTGTAACAAGACTTTAACTCACTGCTACATTACTACACTACACTGCTCTCAACTGTTCAGAGTATTTTCTACAACGGTATACTTTAAAATACTTAAATCTATTTTTTACGGTACAAAAGTAAAGAGAGACACATTATATCTTCTTGATTTCATGTAATTGTGTCTACTATTTTATGATTTGATTGTCAATACAGTAGAGCGAATAAATATTTTGACTTTCCTAAAAACAGAAAAACTCTGAGAACAAAGATTAGCAATACTATTTGTTATAATTTGTTAAATAACATAAAATATTATTTAAATTTATTAAATATTTCCTAAACAATTACAAAAATCTATTACTATGCATATTAAAATGCATTTTGTTTCCGAGACTTGAATGTTATTCGGTGAATTTCTCGTTGTCTGCTTAGTTGCTTATGGATTTTTTGTGATTCCTGTAGCTTCATACGCAATTTAATAGAATCTACAACACTCGGAATCTGCATATACAATATTTTTTTTATAATTAATAGGATAATAAATAATTACAAATATTCTTTTATTTTTTCAAGTCATAAGCTTTTGTATAAAAAATTAAATATTGTTCTAAAAGAAATCTTCATAAAAATATATATATTAAAATTTAACATCAAGTTATAGACAATAAAAACAAATGTTACCTCAAAATTATTTATTAATTCCATTATCGATTTAAGTTGTTCTTTCTCTTTATCTATTTCAATTTTTGTAGCAATTTGTTTTGATTGCAATTTTACAATCTCCTGTTTCTTAGAAACAATTTTGTTTCTTACTTGATTCATAATTAACATCAGACCGTCCACTTTTTTCTTATGTTTGCTTAATGTAATAGTATAACGGCCTATAATAAATTAAACTTTGTTGATTTAATTGTTTGCAAAAAAAAATCTATTATCTGTCTCTTACCCGCGTTTCTCTTCATTTCGAGCAAATACTGATTTTTCTCGTCGATTTTTTGTACGCAAATTTTATTTTCTATTTTCAATTGTTCGAAGTCTATGACGCGTAAAGTCTCGCCCTCTTTTCTATGCTTCAGCTGCAACTTGACTTTTCTTATCTGACACTTTATGGTAGCCATCTTCAATCTGTTTTTTTCTATTATTAAGTCGACTACTTTCAAGGATTCTTCTATAAATCTACATAATATATTTAGATCTTTTATATCTTTATATAATCTATAATTATCAAGGAGTTAACATATAACTGTGGGATGTTTATCATAACCTGATAAACTTTTCAGCCGGTATTTTCCCGGTAATGATATCTACGCCTTTCTGTACAACATTTTCTTCAAATTCTTCCCTATTCTTTAAAATTTCATGAATGCTGATCTGATTTTCTTCTATTCGTGCTCGCAAATATATCTTTTTCTTTGTAGACGTTTGTTCGATTTTTTTTAGTTTTTTCTGTAATTCCCGGATTTCGGTGTTTACCATTTCGATACGATGCATATATGTAAGTCTACGATTCAGCAAGAAATGTAATTGTAATTGTAACTGATGAAACTGTAGCAGAAGTTATAATGTCTGGCGGACGAACTTTATTCCTCCATTTAGTGCTTTAGCTGTTAAAAGACTTGGCGTGACGTGTCGACTTGGCGTGTCGCTGACGCTAGCTGAATCTTTGTCGCGAACATTCGCAAGACTTCCGCTTGCGCTCGTAACGGGTGATATACGACTGTGTTGAGGTGCGATTTTTTGTACGCGTTTAGCGGTTTCTAAGATTTGCGTTATTTCTAGACAAGATATATTAAAAGGTAAAGTTAATATCAATATATCTGCGAAAAGTTTAACTTAAAATGGGAATATTGGAATTTCAGAAAAATTTGAAATATATATGAATTAGATAAAAAAATTTACTTTGAACACTTTCAGGATTTCGACGCATAAGGTACCGTTCAAAAATGTCATTTTCTAACCTCAGTAATACATTCGAATAAATAACATTTTCAAGTACTTGTCGTAATTCCGTTTCTGTCATATCTAGATCGATGTCAATGAAATTTTTTATGATTTTTAAGATATAATTAAATTACATAGATTTCTTTATACCTTCATAATAACAGAATTCATCTTGTTTAGTTAAAACTGAAGATCCGGCACTAAAGGTACTATTTTGTCGTATCATGTTTAGTCTTTCACGTTTAATCTTTAAATAACATAATCTTTTTAGATCATTTAAAATTTGACATTTTATATTGTAAATACCTAAAATTACATAATAAACATATATATTTAAATAATTCTGTCACAGTTTTTATGTCACGCAAACAAAAATATAAATTCCAGCTATCTTCAAGTATTACTTTTTAATAATAAAATGTATTTTTGGGTAAATTAAAACAAGTATATTTATAATGTATTGCATTTACGTACAAATTTATTTTATAGTTTAAAAAACGTATATAAATTATATGGCACACATTTTTGATAGTGCTAATATTACATTTAAATATGTATTACAAGAATAACATTTTTTTTAATACTGTGTTTCACATTTATATAGTTATTTAATGATATACGTAAATTATAATTATCGATGATGTGCATCTACTTATCGATTAATATCAAACACGAAAAATTTAGTTAGAAGAATTAAGACGCATATCTAAGACTCTTCCACTAAAGCTTCTTGTTGTATTTCAATGTCATTGATGTATAAAACGTACGCTATACCGATTTCTTTTTGTTCCGAACTGTAAGATCTAATAGCGGCCGGTAAATCACCAACGGAGAAAAGAATTTCTGCGCCGCCGTCCATAAATTCATTCTATGTACAAATCGTTATTTAATTTATATATTTTTCACATTAAACAACATTTGCTAAATATTGAATACATAAAAGCATAATAATGGATATTTCTATTCTTATTATTATTACCTCAACTTCCACTTCTTGTCCATTCACCCAAACGCTGTGAGCGTGTTTATCTGCAATTGTTATAAAATAAGATTATTTTTATACAATATATTAACTGCTTTGATGAATTACCTAATACAATTCTGTATTCTTCGTTCTCAACTTTGGCCAACCAAGCTTCTAGTATTTTTGATTGCGACTGAACAAATTGCTTGTAGCTCTTTCCGTTCACCCACAACGAATAAGAATACTTCAAACCTATATAATCGTTGTAACGATATAATATTTATCATCGCAAGGATAAAATAATAATAAGGCTTTACCTGGCATTGGATCGACTCTGATTATAAATTTGATATTATTAAACATAAAGACTTCATCACCGACTAGACGAAACATCCAATCTCTATGAACTATATTATTGCCATCGATTTTTACTATACGCCGGCCTGTTGCTGTTCCATGTTCAAATTCTACCACATGATTCCCGTCACTCAAAGGAACGGTCCATTTGGCAGTAGGTTCGTTTGCTGAAGTTTCCAGATTATGAAGACTTCTAAATAGACGTTAAAATAAATGCTATATAGTATTTAAAAATCAATAATAATAAAACACTGTATAATGCAATATAAATACTGCATATACGTATAAAAAGATTATATGTAAATGTTGATATTATAAATTAATGCTAAATGTAAAGTACTATTACAAACAGCATTTGTATGGAGCAATCAATATATCACTTTCGAAAATAATTACAGGAAACAACATTAGAGACTGTGTAATAAAGTTAGGATAATGATTAGAATGCGTAATAAAGTTAGGATAATAATTAGAATGTGCAGAATTAGGAAAGTTACTTTATAAAAATAATTTATTGCCGTTATTCGTCGCTAATTAAAAAAATAATTTATTTATCGTTATTTAAAATTTGACAAATCGTTATAATTTCATTATTTTTTCATCAAATTTTGATAACGTTTTTTTAGTATGACAATTACTTATCTATGTCACTAATTGATCGAATTTAAAATCTATAGTGGCTAATGACATTACAAATAACATGTTGTTTCCCAACTCTAAAAATATGTATATGCATATATATATATATATTTTTTTTTATTTCTATAAATAGTAGAAAATCTATGCATATACCTGCTTGTGTGTGTGTTTAAACGAACGAAATATTCATATTATTGCTACAGTACAATTACAAATGCATTAACTCTTTAATATTGCGTAACTTACATTTATGAAAATAAAGATATTGGTAACACAGCGAGATAGATTGAAATAATGTATATTAAATAATCTTTTAAAAATAAGAACATTGTTATAACTTAAATTTGTGTATTTTACTTACCGAAGTAGAACGCCTGCCATGTTTCTTCTATACCTGTACCTGTACTGGCCTCCTTATTGATCGACTTTACTGTGACTATCCTCGCAATCAATAATCGAGTTATTTTGTACGTCATACCACACATATTATTTCTTTAAGCACATTGTAGTAAACCGTTTAGTTTTTACATATTTCGGCTACATAAATTGTATTTATTAACAAATGCAAAATATTATATACATAAATAATTATCATAATAATAATCATAATAATAATTATCATATACATAATTAATTATATTATAATCATTTTATAATTAATGAAGCAAAAAATATGATTGGTAAACATCTTTACGTATATAGGATTTCTTGATAGAAACTCCGCGGCTTAATTAATATGTGTATAATTAAATTTGATTTAATTTTAACTTAAAATTAAATGTTTTTTTATCTTGTTATTAATGAATTGGAAAAATAAATTAGATAGGAAGTAAGTATGTAATAAGTAATTTATCAAAGTATTACAAATCTAATATAAAATATATAAAAGACAGTAACACAAAGAATATAATTTTGCCTTGTGCACCAATTTCATTTGTTAGTTATTAGCAGGTAACAATTTTCCCGTACATGTTCCAAAACCGACTTTATAACCATCGCCAACACAATAACCTAGAAAACAATGAAATAAATAATTATGTAATTTTATATGTACATATATTATAATAAATAATTGATTTATTTACCACGAATAATGATTTCATCATCATCTCGAAGGAATTTTCTTGTTGTACCATCTTTTAGTGCAATATTATGTGTGCCTTTCCAACACAATTCGAGCATTGAACCATAAGAATCCGAAGTCTAAATATTTTATATTATAAAATGTAAAATAAAATTCATAATTTATGTAATTTAAAAAAAATAGAAATTACGAAAAAAGTCAACAGATAAATATGACAAAAGCTAATTTAATATATTAATTATATTAATAATGCCGATACTAAATTAATGCCGATACTAGATTAAATACTAAATTTTAAACGCACGTTTCCACTTATAGTGCCGGATCCCATTAAATCTCCAGGATTAATGTTACATCCTGTAATAGTATGATGCGCCAGTTGTTGTTGCGGAGTCCAGTACATGTGTGAAAAGTTGCTCCGGCATATGGTCGTGATTACACCACTTGATGCTGCAAAAAAATTAAAATTATTTTTTATACAATAAGATAAAATGTTTAAGCAATACGGGAATGTGAACTATAAGAAAAGTAATAAAAAAAATAACAGCTTACGTTTAAGGTCAACTTCCAATTTAATATCGAAGTTACAAGACTCGTTATGTTGCAAATACGGAAACGGTTCTGGATCTTGAGTCATATTTGGTACTTTGAAAGCATCTAGAGCTTCCATTGTAACTATCCATGGAGAAATTGTCGTACCCAAATTCTTTGAACCGAATGGTCCTAATGGCACGTACTCCCATTTCTGAATGTCCCTTGCTATGCAAAACAGAAAGAAAAATAAAAAAATCAGAATAAAAATTTTAATTAATTAAAGTTCTTTCAGTTATATTTCGTACCGCTCCAATCATTCATCAAGACCATCCCAAAAATATGATCATACGCTTTAGAAGCTGGAACAGTATCACCTAGGTTTGTAGGTGGGCCACCGACAAAGAAAGCAACTTCGAGCTCGAAATCCATTAATCTGCAGGGCCCAAAAACAGGTGCTGCACCTTCAACCGGAAGTGTTTGACCACACGGTCGTCTTATGGGTGTGCCTGACACAACAATGGAACTTGCTCTTCCGTGATAGCCAACTGGCAAATATTTCCTGTAAAAATATAAATTATTTTATTCTACAGTACAAGTAATTTTTAAAGAACAATCATAAAATAATATTAATAAGAAAATTACCAATTTGGCATCAGCGGATTTTCTTTCCCACGGAACATGATACCGACATTTGTAGCATGATTAAGAGAGGAATAAAAATCAGTGTAATCTCCGATCTTGGCTGGTAAATGCATTATAGCATCTTTCTGGGCGACAAAAATTCTAAAAAAGATGTTACGCAGAGATTATAATACATTTTTTAAAGAGCTAAATTTTTTATATTAATTTTCGTTTGTTGATTTCTCACTTAGAGTGGATTTCAGGATCTTGCAAAGTATCATTACTGGCAGACAGCAGCTCTTGAAGTTTAGATCTTGCTTCTAGCCATGCTGGCCTTCCGAGAGACATAAAATCATTCAAACAATCACGACGAAACACATCTTGCTTACTTTCCAACAATGGTCCATCGAAATAATTTGCGATAGCATTTAAATTCAAAATTTGATCACCAATTGCCACACCAATTTTTTTATCTGGCTAAAATATTTTAAATATTATTTATATTATATCTATCTATCATAATATAGTAGTATATAGCTGTTATATAATTAATAAAGTATTATTATAAATTTTGTATTTTAATATCATATCTAATAAATCTGACAATTTTTTCATAGTATAAAATAATATAATTTAATGAAGAATTTATGAAAATATTAGAATTATCGAACGACAGTAATATACCAGCTGATGGTACCATAATATAAATTTCTACTAGACGGCGTTGAATGCGAGCAAGAATTTTCAAGAAGAAACATTCCATTCTTTGTTGTTAGTTGTTTCATGAAGAAATATGCAACTTATTTTATATTTTATTGTACAACTTTTCCAATAATTTTTCAAAAATATGACAAAAATCCATAAAAGATTACTATATTTT